GGGAGCGCAGGGAGTCGGTGAAGCTGTGCTGCCCGCTGCTGGAGCGCCGGATGGGCGTGTCCTCGGGCCGGCGCAGCGAATCGTGACGGCTCACCATCATGGTGACGGCGGCCGCCGACCGGCGCCGGCGCTCGGGGCTGTCCAGGGGCGGAGTCATCCCCTGGCCACGCCCCAGGAGCAGCTCCCGTGGACTGAAGTGGCCGGTGACGGGCGGCGAGCTGCGCTCCATCACGCCGCCGTTGCCATGGCAATGGCTGTCGTTGGAGCGGCCGAGGGGCCGGCGGAACAGACCGTCGGTCCTCTTCCGACGGTGGCTGAGAAGAGGAGAGCAGAGGTCAGCCTACTTTGGGAAAATAATCGAATCTGATCCATTAAATCCCTAATCCCTCATTTCGTATCGTCTTCAAATAAACCCACAAAACCCACAACGAATACAAAAATAGAAAGTGATGGCATAAACAAGTTGCCCAGTTGCCCACATCCCAGCAGACTTGGATGGTTTTGATGCTGTTGGGTTTGATGCTTTGGGTATGATCTGAGCACACAGGAATTCAATTCATGTTTTTTTTCCTCTTTATTTTATATATATATATATATATATATATATATATATATATATATATATATTTAGTTTTCTCCCACATGCAAAGCGTCTTGGGTCCTGATGAAAGCGAATGTATTATTATTATGTTTAAAACATGAGGAAATGTTTACAACATCCAGAAATCAAGTTTCATAAAAGACGCAAATCAAAAACACTAAAACATTTGACATCTTTCTTCTCATGTATAATGTTGCTTCGTATATTTATTTCTGGAAGTCAGACGACTGATATGAAGGGAAAGATCAACGTGCACTACAGACACATTGCAATGCAGTAACCTACTATGCAGGCGAGCCAACCTCATTGGTCACTTCATAACAAGCTTTAGTCTTACATAACAGACCTGTTAAAGGTTTCTGGGGGTCGGAGGTCGGTGGGGGAGCTCAGCTCACTCCTGGACCTCTTGTCATCGGTGCTGCTGCTCCCTCCGTCGCTGTCTGCCTTCTGACTGAGCGTGTCAGACATGACGTCCGCCCTGGAAAACATGCACACAGGGGGACACTGTTAACCCCACCAATCAGGACACTGATTCTCTTAACCCAACCAATCAGGGCACTGTTCCTCTTAACCCATCAAATCAGAACCCTGTTTCTCTAAACCAAACCAATCAGAACACCGTTTCTCTTAAACCTCCAATAAGAACGCTAGTTATAATAAGAACTAGTAATAATCTTAGCCCACCAATCAAAACCCTGTTTACTTTCTGGTAATAATCTTAACCCCTCAATCAGAACCCCGTTTACTTCCTGGTAACATCCTTAACCCACCAACCGGAACCCCATCCATCTGGAACGAGCAAGAGTACTGCAGCTAACAAAGCGAACCAATTACCAATTAACCAATCGATAGCGGGCGGTTAGCGGCTTGATTTGTCAATACGCCCATTCATCAGCAAAGCGGGCCAATCCAGTGGTGGACCGAATCCATCACCCGGCGTTGTCGATGAGTCAACCGGGCTTGGCTCAGTGGAACCAATCGGAGACGCTGATTATTCATACATCAACAACACTCACAATCAATGCCTAGATCTACAACTCGCCATTTAAAAAAACAGATAGAGACCTCTCTCATCTGCTGGTCCTTTCAATGATAAATGTGAATGAGAATTACAGAAATACCCCCAATTGCAGCAACGTACACACTACTACATGACGTGTGTGTGTGTGTGTGTGTGTGTGTGTGTGTGTGTGTGTGTGTGTGTGTGTGTGTGTGTGTGCGTGCGCGTGCCTGTCCTTCAGCACGATGTACTGGTGTGGCACCAGGCCGTGGTTGCCGTTGTGCCGTCCCTCCCACCAGTCATGTGACGCGCGTTGGTACAGCTGCAGCACGTTGCCCTTCTTAAAGGAAAGCTCGCGGGCCGACCGGCCGGCGTAGTCAAACCTCGCCACCGCCTCCACGCCCTCCCCCTCTGGTAGGAGAGAGAGAGGGGGAGAGGGAGAGGGGGGGGGGGGGGGGGGGGAGAGCAAGAGGGAGAGCGAGAGGGAGAGCGAGAGGGGGAGACGGGGAGAGGGAGGGAGACGGGGAGAGGGAGGGAAAGGGAGAGAGCGAGAGGGTGAAAGAGAGAGAGAGCAAAAGAGAGAGAGAGAGGGAGAGGGGAAAAAGATAAAGGGAGAGAGAGAGAGAGAGAGAGAGAGAGAGAGAGAGAGGATGAGAAAAGCAGAGGAACTGATAAAAGCGACGCGCTTGGCGTGAAAATAAAGGTGACCCCCACACCTGTCAATCATCCCTCTCCCAGGCACGAGCTCGCTCACCAGTTCAACCAATGAGAAGAGAGCATTGCGATAGTGGTAGAGAAAAAAAAGGTAAAGAGAAGAAAAAAAACAATGAGAGCTTAAATCGTTTCTATCAATTCAACCGCCCCCCCCCCCCCCCCCACACACACACACACACACACACACACACACACACACACATACACACATACACATCACTGCCTCAATTACCATCCCCATCAGCAAGCACACGCTCTCCTGCTGCCACACACACACACACACACACACACACACACACCAAGCGCACTAGAGGGAGGAGGAGGCGAGAGCTAGGCAGCTAGGTCTCCATGGCTGCTGTTGCCACGGAAACTATTGTCCAATCGAAAGCAATGCCGGCTAGGGAGGGGTGGGGTTTTGGTGTGTGTGTGTGTGTGTGTGTGTTTGTGTGTGTGCAGAACCAAGGCGCGAGCAGCACCGCAGCGGGTGGAAGTGTGTGTGCGTGTGTGTGTGGCAGGGGGATGATAGAGGACTGCTTTGAAGGTCAAAGGTTACACACATACCCTCCTCGCTGGTTTGGGTCTCTGTGCCGCCGTCAGGCTCGGCTTCCTCCAGCGCGCCGGGCTCACTGAATGGACTCTCGCTGTGGGGGGGAGAGAGAGAGAGAGAGAGAGAGAGAGAGCAAAGAGCGAGAGAGCAAGAGAAAGAGACAGTGAGAGAGAGAGAGGTGAGGAGGCTTAAGCTGAAAAATTGCCACAGTCAGCAGTACAGCAGCACACTCAAAATAAAAAGGACACACAAACATAAAACACACACACACACACATATTAAACAAAAAGGACACACACACACGCAAACACACACACACACACACACACACACGTACGGACAAAAAGGCAAGGAGCATAATGGAGTTTGATTTGTAAATGTGTCGATACTGCTGTCATTCACCCTTCGTTCATTCATTCCTTCATTCCTTCATTCATTCATTCACAGGAACGCGACACCACTACATGTTGACACCCACACTACATAACTGCAGCAGACACGACACCGGGGCTAAACATGGCCGCCCTACAACAGACGTGACACCAATAAAATGTTGACCAGCAGCACTAAATCACAACTGTAAATGTCGCCACCGATAACAAGGCATGACGACAGCACTAAAGGTGGCCAGAAATGACCCACAAACACACTGACGCTGAACGGGAGACATGACACACAGCATTTTTTAAAATGTATTTAACACTTTATGCCCCTCATATTTTATATTACCCCCTCATATATTATACCTCATATCTTATTTTATATTGTAGGCCTATAGCCTATTTTATACCTTTTTTATGTATTACCACTAGTGTGTTTTTGGACTACGCAGATGACTGATTTGCCTCGTCATAAGGATCTCACTGTACAGAACGACCATGATATACTGCACATTCGATAATAAAACACCCCCCACTTTATTTTTATGGGCTTTTGTACCTTTATGGACAGGACAGTGAAGAAAGATAGGAAAGTGTTTTGAAGCAGAGAGGGAATGACATGCCGATACAACGTGTAGCGCCTACATCAGGGGTTCCCAAAAAGTTTCATGCCATGACGCTGCACATGCGGGTGTACTGCGCTTGGCCCAGCTACTGTACTTTTATCACTATCATGTCAAGAAAGTGAGACGATTAACATTTCTCCATGTCTAAATTGTTCATCAATACGGTATTCCTATTTTCTTCTTCTATCCCCGTCTTCAAAACACACTAATGATAAAATAATAGACAAGACAGTACAGACACACACACACACACACACATATATATATATATATATATATATATATATATATATATTAAAAAAAGATTATACAAATATTATTCGTGGCCATCAAGACAACCCACTTGGACCCCTCCTGTGCAGGATTAGCCGCTAATAAAAACACTTGACTTCAGTCTCTTTATAGATGCATTAATGTGCTCATCGCTTTAATGTTGCAGCTGGTAAAGGTGGCACTCATTCTAATTATTTAGATACATTTTATATATTACTTTACTGCTGGGTCGCTAAATGTAGTGCAGTAAAAGGTATAATATTTGCCTCTGAGATGTAGTGGCGAAGAAAATAAAAAATAAATACTCAAGTCAAGTACAAGTGCCTCAAATGTGCACTGAAGTACGGTACTTGAGTAAAATGTACTCGGTGACTTTCCACCGCTGCTGCTCACCAGTACTGATCCCCCGTCATGCACTTCTCGTACACGGGCCCCGGCAGCTCCTTGGTGTCGGGGAAGATGTTGTCGTGGTGGAGGATGACCGTCTTGATGACCTCGTTGACGTGCGCCTGGCAGGCCACCTGGTCCAGGGTGTCCGGCGTGGGCAGCAGCGTGGGCCCGAAGACGATGGCCAGGTTCCCCGCGTCCATCATGTTCTCGTCGCTGTACTGCGAGAGGCTGCGGGGGAACGAGGCAGGAGGAGATCGGTGGTTAAGAGAGTGCGATGATCGACCGGACCACCAGACCTAAACTGGCGCTGGACTAAAACAAAACCAGACTAGACCGGACTTAGTGCTAAACGACAACTGGACTAGAACAGACTAGAACCAGACCAGACCTAATATAAATAATGGTTTCAATGTTTGTGTCCAAAATAGACAAAGTAGTCCTATTTGAAGCGTCTTACATTTTTTTAGCATGGGCGGTCCCAGTGGGAATCGAACCCCTAACCCCGGCATTGTCACTGCCATGCTCTGTCAGGACCACTGAGCTAGTCAGGACTATTCAAGAAGGCTTGGCCACATGCAGTATGAACCTTCCCCTAAATCAAGACCACCTGGTGAGTTTGTCAGGTATCAGGTCTGTGTACTATAGGCTTTAGGCTTTCCCTCAAAATACAGAGGGTTCATGATTCAATAAACTAGTGTAAAACATACATCTACTACCTTAATATTGGTGTTCTGAGAATTGGCAAGTGTCGTCACAGAGACAACAAACAGAGAGTCAATTCTGAGGTGTCTCGATAATGTTTTGTTCACCGCCAGACGGTACAGAGTTTGCTACCAGCTGCTTGGAGGGAACATTCAACTGAAATTCAACCCATCCAAACACATCTCCTTCTCCCCGCCTTCTCTACGACACACGGCGTTGAAATCACGACCCGTCGATACAATGCAAAAAATAAACGTAAAAAAAAATACGAATACACATTTTTTGTTATCATAAATTGACAGCCGTGGACAAAAAAAAAAACAATTCCTGTTCAGGCTGCAACAAAACTAGCGCGCGGCTAATGCACGTATATGATGAATACATGCATCTGGTACATCACACCTGCGGGCGGCTGTCTAGCTCCTCTCACACCTCCCGCCTATATTAGTCTGAGGGAGGGCTGGGGGAGATGACATCACCACCGATGCACTCAACCCTCTGTGGAGGCACCGCAAGCCCCCGCCCTCCATACCGCCAGATCTGATGTCTCCATAATTACAATTGTGTGTGTGCAAGTGTGTGTGTGTGTGTTAGTACCATAAACGGTATAGGTTAGTACGTGTGTGTGTGTGTGTTAGTGAGAGTGAGTGAGTGAGTGAGTGAGTGTGAGAGAGAGAGAGAGAGAGAGAGAGAGAGAGAGAGAGCGAGAGAGAGAGAGCATGTGTGTGTGTGTGTGTGTGTGTGTGAGAGTGTGTGTGTGTGAGTGAGTGCATGAGGGAGTGTGCGTGAAGTCATCAGGAAAAAAGAACAGCAATATGACTCACTTTCAAGGATGGTGCATTCAGAAGATAAAATGTGAGAATGTGGTGTGTACGTGTGTGTGTGTGTGTGTGTGTGTGTATGGATGTGTGTGTTCGCACGTGCACACGCATGTGTTGCACGTGTGTGCGTGGACACTCACTGGTTAAGGAAGGCGAACAGGTAGCGCATCACCACCAGCGTGGCCCGGGGCACACCCAGCATGATCTTGCGGATGCACTGCGCCCGCTCATACAGGTTCTCCATGCCTACAGCGCAGACAGGTAGCTTAGTCAGGTTAGTCGGGTTAGGACAGGTTAGTCAAGTTAGGTTAGTCAGGTTAGGACAGGTTACTCTAATTAGGTTAGTCAGGTCCATCAGGTTAAGACAGGTTAGTCTAGTTAGGTTAGTCAGGTTCATCAGGTTAGGGCAGGTTAGTCTAGTTAGGTTAGTCATGTTAGGACAGGTTAGTCTAGTAGGGCTGCACGATTATGAAAACAATTATAATTGCCATTACTTTGCCCAATATTGTGATTTTTTTAAATATTTGAATTGTGACCTTTCTCGATTAATTAAAATTGTGAATTCGATTAATATGCAGGCCCAATGATCCATCCATTGAAATTAATTCACACACTTAGGCAGAAACTTGTTTCCTTTGTTGTCATTTCCATAACTGCAGCTACAAGCGTCTGCAACGTCAAGTCGCAGGAGAAATGCATGCGACACAATCAGCATCAGAAATCAAGGCTGTTAACCGTTTACTTAATTTTGTTTTGGATAATTTTGTTCCTATTAAGGTTGCTTCATGTGTTTTGTATTTGTGTGTAGAGGCTGTCGATGTCTCTATTGTTTGGTTACAGTCTGCGTTTGGGGGGGCAGTTTTAATTGTCTTGTGGATGATAGTGGATAATTAAAATGTGCTAGAACGAAACCTTGAACGAAAAAAAAATTGCTATGCTTGGTGGCAGCCAGGATGCACCTCAGCCATTTTGCGCATTTTGACAATTCAGTTGGCAGTTCAAGGAAAGAAAGAAACAAACGGGAAAAGTGCAGTGGAAGGAAGTACTCACGGACGCAGGAAATGAGGTCATTAAATCTGTCCTTGGGGAAGACAGGATTCTCCAAGCCTCGGAAGTAGAGCTTCAAGACGCCCGCCACTGAGTTGATGTCACGGCTGCTCTCCTCGTCAATTAAGGGGTCGTTACCTTAAGGAGGCGGCGGGGGGGGGGTAAAACAAAGTGCGTTAATTAGCTTGACTCCGCGTGATTGGCTGCCGTGACCTTCCGACCGCCAAACTCGACCGTCTCTTCCTCACCTCGCTCGAACGAGTTCTTGATGTCGTTCACCTCCACCTGCGACCCCGACACCCGGAAGATTCCTTGGTGCTGAAGACCTGATGGAGGAGAAACACGATGTTGACCGAGGAAGCTATGAAGTGACCTAGCCTGGTGAGACCATCCTGATGACCTTGCGAGTTCACCTTCTGGTTTCGCTCTGCAGATCAGATCTGGCCTGGAGCCTGTTGAAAGCCTCTCCCAAAAAAAATGACAAAAATTATAGTTCATGACGAAGCAAGGAGCGCCGCAGTCTGCCGAAGTTAAAAAACAATGGCGGCGCCCCGAGGAAAGTGTAGCAATCGACAGAGCACTCAACGTGGTTTTAATTCAAAAAATACTGAATAACGATGTTAAAGATGTTGTTGCTTTGCTTCATACCAGATTCAGCAAGAGCAAAGAGAGCAAGAGAGCGACTAAATTACTTAATCTGATTGGTTGGAGTAAGGCCGCGCCCATATGTGGAAATCAATTGCTGCCCAGCCAAGGCCAGACTGATATTGATTGCAAACGCAAACTTGAATATCTGCATGGTCTCGAGAGACTAGAAGTGACCAACCCTCATTCCAAATGAGTCCCGCCGTTACTCGGTGGACTTTAAATCGTTTGTGACCAGTGTGAATGTAAAAAAAAAAAGGTCTGAAAAATGTTCAAGACTGTCATTTATTTTATTTTTTTATTTCCCCAAGGTTGGTTCGCTGAGCACGGATGCTCTTATTCAGCCACGCCCTGCGAGATCCACAACATTCACACCTGGGAACTGCCCAATACATCCATTGTCTACTGTTGGCCACTGGGCAGCTCCACTGGAGGAGTTGGGGGTTAGGTGCCTTGCTCATAGAGCACTTCCAATGGTGGGGGGAGGGGGGGGGGAGGGGAGGGTCTTATTCATTTACTTCCCCTGTCCACTTTTTTCCTGCAGGTGAATGGTCCGGGGAATGAACCGGCGACCTTCCGGTCACAAACCTTTAGGCCACCACTGCCCAAAAAGACTCGTTATGACTCTTCTTGAGTCACAGAAGAAAAAAAAAGTGCTTCACATGCTTCTTTGCTTCACACTTACCATGCAAGTTAATGTAGCGGATGCAGCTCTCCACAAGCAATGGTATGGCTTTTGTTGAGTCCTATGAGAATGGGAGCAAAATGGGAGACGCAGAAACATACAGTGTCAGCACATATTACGCCAGCATACACACACATAGTGCACACATGCTCGCACGCATACACATAAGCGCACACAAAATGCTATTCTCGCACAAAAATGCCTCTTTCTTAAAAACTGCTTATATGGTATAATTCTTCTAATAAAGGGAGAAAAGTACCTGGTGTTTGCTGTGGGAGTTCTTGCGGCCGCGGCTGTCAGTGAGGAAAAGGAGAACAAAGTACGTGTGTACAATGGAAATGTCGGACGCTACGATAATCTTCGAAGCCCAAATACAAAATGCACACAGAAATCTAACTATAATTGAGTCTCTGTATGTATGTATGTATGTATGTATGTATGTATGTATGTATGTATGTATGTATGTATGTATGTATGTATGTACGCATGTTCATATAATACAACAAAATAAACACGTGTTATGTGTGTCTCACCTGGTGGTCAGCATGTCTGCCTTATAACCTAAAAGACACAGGAACAGAACGACAAGACAACATGAAACACAAAATTCACTTTGTTTGATTATTCTCACAGTGATGTTATTCACCTATTCATGTCAACACCGTAAAAGCCTGTTTATGAGTTATTTTACATCCAAATGTAATCGTTGTCAACTTCCTCTACAGCCGCAAATGTGTAGAAAAGTGTAGAAAAGTAATTTGCGTCCATGTGGGCAGCCAATAATGATGCCAGTAATGTCTGTGTGACAATACGATTACGATTGATCCTGTGTAAAACAGAGACATTACTGGCTATATTATTGGCTGCCCACTCGGACAACGTAATCACTTTTATGCACTTTTTGATTGTCTTTTTGTTGTTAATCACATCACAATCGTCCTACATTTTGTCCCGCTCTACTTAACCATTTTACTTGGAATAATGTCATGAAATGTAAATTAGATATGCTCCGAGTGCCATTTATTCATTATGGCTTTAAGAAGGACATGAGCATCCCGAGTAGAAGCGGGAAGAGACGAGTGGTGAGAGACGAAGTGATGAGAGAATAAGAGTAAGATGAAGAGGGCAGAGAGAAAAAGGGGAGACAGAGAGAGAGACACAGAGACAGAGAAACAGAGACAGAGCGGAAAAGAAAGCACGAGAGAGCGAGAGCGAGAGAGACAGAGAGACAGAGAGAGAGAGAGAGAGAGAGAGAGAGAGAGAGAGAGAGAGAGCGGTGTCTCACCCTCTGCTATGGCTTTCTTCAGCACGTCATGTTTGGCCTGCAGCTTGGATATCAGGTTGCTTCCCTCCAGATACTCGCGAAATTTCTGCAGAAATTTTAGATTATTTTGTGGGGAAAACTAGCGGTAAAAGCACAACCCGATACTTGTGCATGTATGTATGTGAGTGTGTGAGTGTGTGTGAGTGTGTGCGTGTGTGTGTGTGTGCGTGCCCTGTGTGTGTGTGTGTGTGTGTGCACACTCACGGTGAAGTAGAAGAGCTCGGTCTCCTGCTGGTTGGCCCTCCTCTTGGCCAGGCTGGGCTTGTTCAGGTAGCCGTCCGACACGCTGGACTTCACCGACTCCGAGGAGGGGCTGTGGG